TTTCTAATTTTTTATAAAATATGTATATTATTTTATTTATTATTCAATACATTTTTATCTAAGATTTCATATATTATGAAAAGTTTTAAAAAATTCAAAATTATAATTTTAGTTTAAAAAAACTGAATAAACTTATACCAAATGTTTTATTATGCATATGATTTTTCATTTTAATTTTATAAGTTGTTTATTATCTTATATTTATATATATATATAAATATAAATACCATGTGTCTCCGTCTTCTTTGCATTGATTGCCGAGGTATTTTATACCTTTTCTTAAAAATTAATATACATATTTTAGCATGAATTTTTTATTATAAATAATAATATAATACTTCGATATTTTAAGGTCGTAACAGTTATGATTTACAACATGAAGAACAAGAAAAACCTGCAGCATATATGGAATCTATTGCTGAAAAGGATAGTTTAGAAAAAAATTCAAAATTCAATGAATCAGATACTACTACAGTTATTCGACGATCTCATGTACGTGTTGATCTTCAAGCTGCTGGTCTGGGACCACGACCACCATCTGTTGTCAGCTCAGATCAAGAATACCCACCTTTAGAACATAAGGATATACCAATACCTTCGCCATATGTAAAGAAAATACAACAAAATCAAGAAATTTCTTCTCAAAACAATGAAATTAAACCACAAGTAAAAATAAATATAGAAGAAAATACATTAATAAAAATTGATTCAGCAAAAAGTTGCCATAATAAAATATCTCAAGAAAGTAACCAAGATTATATACGAATAAATTCAATGAATACAGAACAAAATCAAAATATAATTTTAGATAATAAGTCAAAATCAAATATTAACAATGAAAAACATACATTTTCTGAAACTGTATATCAAAAAACAGTATCCAATGCCAAAAATGATCAAATTAAAATCTCTGTACGTGAAAAGCTAGCAAAAAATAAAGAAGAAGTCTCTGGAAAACGTTCAAGTTTTGCTGAAATAGATAATAAAGTAGATCAAATAGAAAAAGTTAGTTTAAATACAAGTCAATGTTCAATGGTTTCAAATGTTCATAATACTGAGAATTCATCTGAAAAATTGAATGACAAAGAAACTGAATTAAATGATGTTTCATTACACTCAGAAAATATATCTAAATTTATATCAAAAACAAATAATAAGAAGGAATTTATAACATTAGCAGGTGATGCAGTATCATCACCTAAATCCAATTCTCAAACAATAAGTAATATTCTAAATAAAAGTACAGAAGAATTAAATCAACCACAAACAACATGGGAACAAGAAAAACAAAAGGCTGAACTGGCAAAATTGAGATTACAGGAAAATACTTTTACAAATACAATTCAACAAGTTAATATGTCTCAAAATGTATCACCTGCTATTGTAACTTTGCATCATACAGAAAAGAAACAATTAAACGAACATATTATATCTGAAAGTAGTATTCATGATGATAGTGATTCTAGTGATACTAAAACTATTACAAATCTGGAGCATATATCAGCAATGGATGCAAAAAATACCATGGAACGTATTAATTCTAAAACTGTTATAGAAAATTTTTCTAAAGCTACTACAAATCAAACAATTCCTGTAACACCAGACACTATGACAGCTGATGAAGCAGAAAATTTATTAAGTTCACGGTAAGCTATTTAAACAAATAGTTTAAAACTGTATAAAAATGAATTCTTAACAAAAACAATGAAAAAATTATATTATAAGAATGAAATAGTAATATTATAGTTAAAATTATAATATATATATATATAATATACTAAAATTTTCATATAGATTTTTTCAAATACATGTCTATATTTTATATTATGATAATTCTAACTATAACAAATCATTTTATAGTAATTTGCAAACAACTTAATAACTTTTATTTTTTTATTTTAAATTCTAATGTTTTCTTCTATTCATGTTTATTTGAATGTGACTTCAAACAAACTCATAATAAATTGGGACAAAACAGCATCCTAGAGAAAAAAATAAGGTAAGTTAATTGTTATTGTTTCGTTAATGTTTAGTTCATTGATTATGATGTTAAATTATAAAAGCATCGTGAATCACATGAATAATCAATTAGACAAGGATCAGCTTTATTATCAGACGAAGAAGCTCAAGAAATAGCAAGATTATTATCACCTACTACACATGCTGAAGTTGTAAGTGAAGAATCTATTGATAAAAATAAAGAAATTGATAAAGAGAGGGAAAAGGATGATCAAGATAACACACCAGATTGGCTTTCTGATGTCTTGTCTGCTCCTGATACCAGTCTTATTAATAGCACCACTAATGATTATAGGTGAATCAGTTTAGTCTTTTATGTTTTTTATGTTTTATAAAACTATTTTGCTAATGTTATGTATTGATTTTTATTAACTTTTATTAATTGTATATATAGTGATATAACTTAACATAAAATTTTAATGGATTTTCATCAGAAAATACTAAATTTATATGATTTTTTAGTTTGTCTCATAGATCACGTAGCGATTTAACGATAGACTCGTTAACAGAGAGTCAAGTGGGTTCTGTAACAGGTAGTGAAAGTGGTTTACTTGGATCTGTTAATAGTTTGAATGATACTTACGAAATTAACGATGATACAGAAACAGAACATCAAGATGAATATGTTCCTCCAACACCAGGCAAAGTTGTAAGATCATAAATAAAATTTATATTTATTAAATAATTTAATTCTTAAATATAATTTAAGAACAAAATATAATTAAATTTACATTTTTTTAGATATTGGTTGAAAATGGTGTACATTATTTTGAAGATGGTCATTTTTGGATGGAAGTTGCAGGAATACCAGAATCAGACGATGAGAAAGATGATTATCCAACAAATATACCCATTAAAAAAATGTCTAAAGTTTCATTTGATACGAAACCAATGAGAGTTTATTCAACACATTCAGTAAATGAATACGATCGACGAAATGAAGATGTAGATCCTGTTGCTGCTAGTGCAGAGTATGAACTTGAGAAACGAGTTGAAAAAATGGAGGTAAAATCAATTTTTAAATCAAATTATTAAATGTATAAGTGTATATTTATTGCACGCGCACACGCATACACTCTCTTAATACTTAATATTTCATAATATAATAATATATATTATATATAATAAAAAATTTATTAGGTATTTCCAGTAGAGCTTATGAAAGGTCCAGAAGGTCTTGGTTTAAGTATTATTGGAATGGGTGTTGGTGCAGATGCAGGGCTAGAAAAATTAGGTATATTTGTTAAAACAATCACAGAAAAAGGAGCAGCTGCACGAGAAGGCAGAATACAAGTAAACGATCAAATCGTTGAAGTGGATGGTAAATCTCTAGTTGGAGTCACACAAGCATATGCAGCTAGTGTTCTTCGTAATACTTCAGGACTCGTACGTTTTGTAATTGGTAGAGAACGTGATCCAAATTCAGAAGTGGCTATGCTAATTCGACAAAGTCTTCAAGCAGATAAAGAAAGAGAACAAGCTAACTCTGCTAGGTATGATTTAAAATCAACAAATTCATATATTATTTAAAAATGATTTCTTTATGATGATTTATCCTTGCTCGCTAATGTCTATGACGAAAATTTTTGGCCACTTCAATGATGGCTCGTAGTCTCTTGAAGGACTGAGGGAAATTAATTTTTAATAAATAAAAAACTTGATCAAGTTATTTAAGAAGCTTTAAAATAAATATATTTTTCCAGAAAACTTAATTTCTCGGATGCTTCACCTGATAGTCAACGAGGCAGTGAAGATATTTCTGTTGGAGGTATGGGAGGAATACCAGGTTCTCCAGCTATGTCATCGTGTTCGGAAGGGGAACCTCCTCAAAGTCCTATAGAAAATTATTTACCTTCTGGTCGCAGTAGATCTCCTATTATCAGTTCATCAATGCCACCACATACATCTGCCACAACGCAAAGTGATGTTGACAGTTTAAGATTGCTTTTACAAGAGGTAAAATATTTTTTGTCAACATTGTCAACAAGATGGATGTATAGTAGGATGTGAAGCACATATGTAATTTGCATAATTTTATGTATAATTTGGTTATAGTAGCTTTTATATTATAGAAGTATTTTTTATTTTTATTTTTTTTATAAATGTAGTTAATGAAAAAAGTATATTATATTATAGTCTCATTATTTAAGAAAGATATTTTAAATTAGAAATATTATAATTTTATATTTTGCAGTATTTTATTATTGCATAAAATACATTGTTATATGAACAT